CCTTAACCCCTAAACCCTAAACCCAAAAAGACCCGACCCGGCTTTGGGAACTTCCCTAGATTCGGCTCTAAGCCCTCGGTACCCCCCCACCCCCAACCCCCCCCAAGGTAGGTAGAATTGGTGGCCCAACACTGATTCTAAGAAGGTGAGTGGATACACTTTACACATTTTGAGATATTATTACCCACTATGAAACTAAAAGTGTACACTTTTGGCGGCTTATGAACTCAGCAACTAAGTATTAAAAGGCTGTGATTCTAAATCCTCCAAAGTAGGCAAAAATAGTGGCTCGGCACCCACAAAGAGTCATGATTCTCCCCACCCTTTTGGGTCTAGGTGAACCCTCAAAATGTCAGTTCCGAAATCCCCGCTTCCGATCATGTGCGTCTGTAGTCCTCATTGTAACTGTAACTACTGTACGATAATACACCATAAAACCCAATAAGATCAATAGGGAACCTCCATTGCGACCCACGAGGTCCGGTTCGGAAACTTTGATGTGGGGTTGGGGCTCCACACAAAAACTACAGTGGAGACTATAAGCTCTAGGTATTCTGATTTTTCGGGTACCCACTTCTCGATATCCAGAGATTTTAGCCTCAGGTTACGTGTGCGGTGGGGTGGGACCCGCCAGGTGTTAAACTTGAAACCCTGAAACATAGTGAAATCGACTATAGCAGCTAAAGCGGCACATCCTTCCAAGCCCCAGCCCACCCTCGCACAAAAAACAAACCCCAAACCACCAAAACCCGACCCACCACAAACAAGCAATCCCCAAATTCCCGTACTCTCCAATGAACCCCCACCATTCCCCACACAAGAGGAGATGAATCGCTGAGGAACGGGGACATTTCTCGAGCTGCAGACAGAGTTGGTCTGCTAAGCTCGGGCACGGGCGCCCCGACCCCTGCTCCCACCCCCACGCCCAGCCGCTTGGATGCTTCAGTGGGCTTCAGGATGTTGGCTGTTTGGGGGTTCCTGGTTTCAGTTTTTCGTCGGTTGGAGAGGTGTTAAATAATGTAGAGGGTTTAGTGCTGATCGGCTGTAGGGTGCGAGGGGGGGGGGGGGGTAGGAGTGACAATTCAGAGTTTACATTGGGTGTAGTGGTTGGGTGAAGGTGAAGGGTTCAGGAATAACAGGTCTGCTGGGTTTCGGGTTGATGCTTGGCATAGACTCCCATGTCTGTAGACGATTTTCTAGACAGTTCTTACAGAGATTTCTAGCGGCTGAACTTTTAAACCCCCAGAAAGCCCATAACCTGAGGAACCTGAATATTAGGGGTTCAGGGCTGAGGCGGTTCTGCTGCTAGTGCTGGGGAGGTTGGTTCCTTGGACTTGAAACAGGGCTTGAGCTCTGTAGGCTTTAGGGGTTTGGCTTCAGGGTTTAGGGCTGTGGGTTTGGGTTGTGGCGTTTAGGCTTTACCTACCCGGAATAACCTACTTTTTTAATTGAAGGACTTATATAAGGAAATCATAATAAGGAACCCTCAAAAGGTAGGTTATTCAGGGTTAAGGTAAAGTTGAGGGCTAAGGCTCCAGAAGCTACGAAGCCAGGCCCTCCAGCGCCACCTGCGACCACGGTGCCCGTAACTTCCACGATCGCGCCCACGACAAGCTCCGATTCGACCGGAGGCCCTGCGGTTTAGGGTTTAGAGTTTAGGGTTTGGAGTTTAGGCTTTAGGGTTTGGGGTTTAAACTTTAGGGTTTGGAGTTTAGGCTTCAGGGTTAGTGCTTCGTTATCTCACTCCTATCCCACTCCTGCTTCTATTCTCACCTTCTTCTTTCTGAACATGAGCTGGAGCTGACTAGCTGGGTGGGCGGATGATTGGGTGGGTAGGGTTTAGGGTTTAAACTTTAGTGTTTAGGGTTTAAACTTTAGGGTTTAGGGTTTAGGGTAGGTGTGCAAGGGGTAGGTTTTTAAATGGTTTAGAGATGCGTAGATAGATCGGTAGGTAAACAGATCGCCAGGCGATTCAACGTCCCTTTACACTATGGGCCCCTTTTATAGGAGTCTTCCCTGGAAACCAAAACGCGAAGCTCTGGAGTGAGAAGCCCTAAAACCCTTAGATCCTGAACCCCTGAACCGTAAGCCCGTGAACCTTAGAAACCCGAGCCAGGCCCTAACAGCTGCCTGTCTGCAGCCCTGGAGGCGTTTGTTCTGAAGCGTCTGAGGACTGCCGCGCTACAGGCTGCTGCGTGAATGCAGGCTTGACGTGCTACGAGACCAGGACTGTTTTAAGTATTAGGTTTCATATTGAACCCACTCCGTGAGTTTTCGTGTGTCTCTTACAATGTACTTGTCTGTTGATTGTTGTTTGTTGATTGTGCTTTGTACCTACAAGTGTGGCTGGCTTATGAGTATAGTAGTGTTATGCTATGAAGTGATAGCTATACTTTGTTGCTTCACATTTCGTCCGGGAGCTACACACCAAAAAGCTTCAGGGCTTCTGGCATTCAAACAGACGTCAGGTTCGGGAGTTAAGCTTTCGGACTGGAAGTTGCTAGTCGGTGCCTTATCGGCTTAAGCATATGCTCTACTTCCTCTAAGTATAGCAAAAGCACATGGGCCCTCATCGATCGGTAATACGTACTAAGGGCAAGGCGGTCGATGACTGATTACATTCCAAAGTTGTGTTTTCAACACGAGACATGCGTCCCACTGCATGTTCTGCACGTTGTTGGGCTCGTAGTAACCCGGTACTTGAACTCCTTTAGCTCCAGAAGCTCAGAGATTTACTGAACATTCACCCTAGTCTACATATGGAATTCTACAGCCAGTAATTACTGGAGCCCCCAAAAAATCCTTCCTACACAGGACAGAAAAGGTTTTGTAGATTAGGAATTACCACAGCCGGGAAACAGGGTTATAGCAGAGGTGCTCACATGTTCAGGGCTTCAAGGTTTAGGGTGTCGATTTTTGGGAGAACCGGTTGAAGTGCTCTGAGCTAAGGAGAAGAACGACTACTGGGCAAATTGTCGGCAGAGCTGTGAACCGGGCGCCATCGACCCAAACGACGCACCGGAGTATCAGACTCCGTGGACTTGCACCGTCATCGGGGGCTCCACCCCATCCCCATCTCCCCAGCCGTCGCCCTCCCCTCCCCCGTCTCCTACTCCCAGCCCGGCACCTAACCCGGTGCCCGGAATGGCGTTCACCACGGGCACAGCAGGCTCGGGAAAGGCGCGGCTTTTCGAGTTCGTGGATGCCCTGACTGCTTTGCCAGCAGCTGGATCCAAGTACAGGGCGGTGCGCTCCTCGGGTGGAGCCGCAGGAGGCGTGGTTAGTGAGAGCCAAGGTTACGGGCTTCTCTTGGCGGGTGCCATCCTAGCATCCTTGCAGCCGGAAGATGCAGACTACCAGCGAGTTATGGACATCACTCACGAGATGTTCCTGGGCTGGCGCCGCATGTGTGAGCTCTCTGCTGCACGTGGCAGCTGCCAAGACGACGAGGGCTTCCAGTGCGGAGGGGGCCAGTACCCATGCCTGTCGCATTGGAAGTTCGACGACGACTTGACCTACGTCATCGGATCAGGTTCCGCCCCAGACGGTGACGCCGACGCCCTGGCTGGCATGTTGTTTGCGGTGCTAGCAATGGAACAGGAAAGCTCTCCACCCAGTTGGCTGGACGAGGCTCGCAGCAGTCAAACCAGGAGAATGATTTTACAATAATTACATGCTAGAACCATACTAACTATGATCATAGTTGTACTTTTACTAGTAGTAGTGAAAAATGAAAACCGTAGTAATAAAAGAAAAGTAGTAATTAGAATAACAACAATAAAAGTACAATAATAGTAAAAGAAGTATTGATAAGGTTAGAACAAATCTGTAGTAGTAGTAGTAGTAGTAGTAGTAGTAGTAGTAGTAGTAGTAGTAGTAGTAGTAGTAGTAGTAGTAGTAGTAGTAGTAGTAGTAGTAGTAGTAGTAGTAGTAGTAGTAGTAGTAGTAGTAGTAGTTAGTAGTAGTAGTAGTAGTAGTAGTAGTAGTAGTAGTAGTAGTAGTAGTAGTAGTGTAGTAGTAGTAGTAGTAGTAGTAGTAGTAGTAGTAGTAGTAGTAGTAGTAGTAGTAGTAGTAGTAGTAGTAGTTAGTAGTAGTAGTAGTAGTAGTAGTAGTAGTAGTAGTAGTAGTAGTAGTAGTACTAGTAGTAGTAGTTGTTGTTGTCGTAGTAGTTGTAGTAATAATAATAGTAGTAGTAGTAGTAGTAGGAGTAGTCAGTTTGATGGTAATAATAACGACAAGCAAAATCGCTATAGTCTTTAGATTAAAGTGAAAATCGTAGCAGCACTAGGTACAATACTTGTATAGAGTATATCTATCTATATATATATAGGCACATAGGCATAGATGTACTTTTCATTCATATATATATATATGCATATACATATATATATATATATATATACATGGAAGCATCTTTTCAGAGAGAGAGAGAGAGAGAGAGAGAGAGAGAGAGACAGAGAGACAGAAACAGATAGAGAGAAAGAGAGAGAACAAAAAACAACGCGTGAGAGTGAGAAGGGCAGAGAGGGGGGGCGTGCGCATTTAAAGGAGAGACAGTGACCGTTGAATATTGGAGGTTGGCCAGTGGGCTTACGACACATGCAAGCAATTCTACATGAGTTCCACGGTGGACTCCAGCTCGGGAAACCACCGCATCGTCAAGTTGGGTGCCTGTTGGGGCGGCTGGGACGGAGATGGCCAGAACCCCAGCTACCATGCTCCCGGTGTCTACAGGCTGTGCCGCAACTACATGAAGTCTCACGATACCAAGTATGGCTCCTCCGCCGACGAAGGAGAGAATTGGGAAGCAGAGTGGAACAAGGTCATTGCCACCACCTACAAAGTTTTTGAGGCCACGCAGTGTCCTTCCACTGGTCTCGTGCCCAACTGGGCCAAGGTCTATGAAGAAGGCCAGAGCCTCCGTGCCGAGACTGGCTTCTCTGGTAGCGGCACGCCGGGTGCTGAGTATGGTTCTGAAGCGAGCCGCACTGTGTGGCGCGTGACACTAGACTACCTCCTCTTCCCACGCGAAGCCGGTGATGCCGCGGCCTTCCTGGATCCTCTGGCCACCCACCTGGAAGGCAAGGAGACGAACGGCAATTGGGCTACAACTCTCGATGTGGATGGCAGCTGCTTGGTCGACAGCATCCACAGCAGCTGGTCCTTCAACATGCTGCCGGGCCGTACCAGAAAGGTTTTGCACAGCTTCCGAGACGAATTTCGAGCATTGTCTGCATTGTACCTGAAGCACTACATGAACCCCTGGCCCCCTAAACCCGAAGCCATGAACCGGAAACCTTATATCCGAGAACCCAGATCCTAATTCCCTACACCCGAAGCCGTGCAGCTCCACAGCCACTCTCACTCGATCCCTCAGCCACCTGTCGAAACCTTTCTCATCCAGCCTAATATTGAAGCCTAAATAACTACCAAAAGTATTCCGAGAGATCCTTCTTATCATTCCGCAGAAATTTGCCCCCAAACCCTCCTCTGTTATTACGGCCACTATAGGCCCTGCAATCAGCAACAGTCTCAGCTCGGATTCGCCGAATTGTTGATTAACCTAGGGACCCTGGATTTATCTGTGTCACGACCGCCGCCGCATCTAATATTGAGGACTCGAAGAAACACGTGCAGGGATACGCATTTTCCAAGAGATTTGAACCGTAAGCCCGGATTACATTCTCAAAACATTAAGTGACCCGATACTGACCTGCATATACTACTTTCCTAAGCCCACGACCCTTAAGACTATCTCCAACTTGTTTATTCAAAACCCCAATTCCCAACCCTAAACCCTAAACCGCCAACACTTGGCCCACTTAACCCTGCCCTAGGTTCATGGCCGGTCCAACGTTTTCCTGCCTCGTTTGCCCGGCCAACTCCGTCCAGGAGGAGCGCACTAGGCTTTCTACTAATTACTTGTGATTTTGAATTTTGGCCCCAAAGGATCCCTAAACCCTAAACCCTAAACCTTAAACCCTAAACCGGGCAAAGTGTTCAGGGCCTAAGCGATTCAGGGCTTGGGCCGAGAGGCTTCATGGGACGGATGAAAGGACGCTCGGCAGGCGCAGAACCTAGGGCCGCGCGGTTTCAAGACACAGCGGTCCCCTGTGTATGCCGTCAATCGTAGGATCCTTGCTGTGAGAAACCTTGTTTTGGTGCAGGGTTAGGGCTCAGGGGTCTAGGGTTTACGGTTTTCCACAGCCTATAATCGAAATTGAGCAGTCTTCGAGACATGCTCTGCGACTGACGCATTTGGAGTCTAGGGTTTTGGGGTTTGGCATTGTATGGTTTAGGATGTAGGCTTGAGCATTTATAGTCGTAAGTTGAGTTTCGGTTCTAGGGTCTAATTGAGGGTGAGGGTGCCTGAAGGACACTCGTTGGGAGTTTAAGGTTGGGTGTTCAGGCCACTTGAAGATTCATGGTGCTAGACCTAGCAGGAGTAGAATCTCCGTCATCTTGGTAACCTTGAACTGCCCACGAATTGCGAACCTGACATTTGGTTGGCCAAACAGTGCGCTAGACGGGGAGTGTAGCTAGCATGTATCGAGGGCGCTGGGTTTAGAGGCTGTGCACTTAAAGCTTTGTTTGGGAAGCGGCATAGTTTTTTCGCGATTCACAGCTCGAGTCTGCAATCCCTAAGGCGGTGATCTGGAACTGCGAACTCGTAAAACCTTGCCCAGTGCAACCAGTCCGTGACCCACCCCAGTAGAAGAATCCTCAATGCGTTTAAACGTGCCCTTGACCGAAACCCTAAACCCTAAACCCTAAACCCTAAACCCTAAACCCTAAACCGATTGTAGTTCATATCCGAAGCCGTAAACTTGCGCCCCGAAGCCTCTTAAAGCGCCGCTTCAGTTGTCTGTTTCTGGGAGGACCGGCAGCAGGAGCTCATTGACGCCGCCGGCACCAGGGTGGCATCCAAGGCCGGTTTGTTCAAAAGCCAGGAGCTCCAGAACACTGTGCTAGGTAGGGCTTTGGGACATTTTACATTTTCCCTTATTGGGCTTAAGAGGATCTTATTTACTAATATTATCCAAAGGCTCTAAAAGCCCCACCTAGTGTGCTGCTTTGTAGGATTCAGAGGCTGATGGTTTTAGGGTTCAGATGGTTAAGTCTTTAGAGTGCAGGATTTCCAAAAAAAAAAGTCTCAAATCAACTGAAGCTCCTTATTGAGGATACCTTATAGGATCCTAAATCTATACTGGGCTAAACGAAGCAGAGGAACTGCAATGGGACGATAGGTAGGGCTTCGGGAGTCGGCTTTCAAGTTAAAGCCCTAAACCCTAAACCCCTAAACCCCTAAACCCTAAACCCCTAAACCGTTCCCTGCCAGGCGATCGAAGACTACTACTCAGGAAGCTGGATTGCGATTCTCGGCTGCAGAAGTCTAGGTGCAGGGTTTCAAGTTTAGGGGTGTAGGGGTTCTTTAAGGATCATGAGACTTAGTAACTAGGGTTATAAACAGGACAACTTGACTTATAACTACTTATAACCCCAGTTACGGTACTTATAACCTTACTTACTAAGTCCCATGATCCTCCAAGTAGGGGTTTAGGGTTTGGGGTCTGTGCTCGTAAGGTGAATACTGCATTAATATATGATCCTCAAAAAATAGCAGTATTATTCTGTAAGATTCATTATATATTGCATATGCTGCAGTTTATCCCAAAATCCTACTCTAATTCGTAAGGCCTTTTGGTTGAAGCCTGTTAGCACGCTTCAAAAGCCGCAGACACATAAACAAACTTTAGTCCGTCTAGAGTTCGCCTGGACTCCGTAACAGACTACCTATTTTAGGGCTCCCTGTTGTGACTTTCTCACAAAAGTCCATAGACACATGTAGGTTCCATGGGGTTAGGTAGGGTTTAGGGATCCTACAACCCAACGGACTGCTGGCCCTTGCATATGGGTGGTTGTCAATATTAGGGTTCTTTTTTGGGGTCCTTAGAACAAAAATACGGCACCTAATATTTAGGGTACCCAAAAAGGGACCATAATTTTGACAACCACCCATATGTAAGATCTTCTGGGCCCCTGAGCCTGAGCAACTCAAATGGCTCCACGGTTTAGGGGTTTAGGGCTTAGGGGTTTAGGGTTTAGGGGTTAGGGTTTAGGGGTTAGGGTTTAGGGTTTAGGGTTTAGGGTTTAGGGTTTAGGGGTTTAGGGGTTTAGGGTTTAGGGCTTAGGGTTTAGGGGTTTAGGGTTTAGGGTTTAGGGTGCCCGGCAACTTTAACGAAACCCCAAACTTCAGAATCATCCTTAATTGCACCCCCAGGCTCTAAATCCTCAAGTTCTTAGCCCGAGGCCCTGGACTAAAAGCCCTGAACCCTGCTATACCACAGGATCAGCACCATCACCCTGAATGGAGACCTTCTGCGTGCAGCCGATCGGATCGGCTTGCTCGGATCAGTGCGACTCGGATTACAGCTCAGTTTAGTGCTGGGTCTTCGCTTTGGGCTCAGGGCTTTCTTGAACCCTGAAGAACCTACCTTTTTGAGGACCTATATAAGGAAATCATAATTGGGAACCCTAAAAGGTAGGTTATTCAGGGTTAAGGTTTGTCTAAGGGCTGAGTATTAGTGTTGTTGCTTTGGTCTTACTGGGGCTTGGAGTTAATTCCGGGTTCAGGGCTTCACGGGCTTCGGATGGAGGGTTTAAAGCTAGTGGGGGTTCATCTTTATTTCAATCGACCTACCTATTTCAAAACATGTAGAGGTAATCATAATAAGGAGAACCTCTTAAAATCAGGGGTCCTTTTTGGTCGTGGTGTAGCATAGCCCTAAGGCTCCAGCTGGCTTGTGGTAGTAGGGGTCGTGGGGCCGAAATGCCGGGAAGTAAGGAGCTAGGTTCATTCCCTAGACCCTATATGACCTAAACAGCTGTGTCAACGCGTTCCGGTGAACCCCTAACCCCTAAGCTTCCCTACTTGTCGCCTACTTAAGACTACTTTCTCAGGTCCACGACGACCACGACAACAGCGGCCCCGACGACACAAGCCACCACGGCGGTGCCCACGACGACGTCGTCTTCGAGTGGATCTGAGCTTCTTGGGCTTAGTTCTTACAGCAAAGTCGACGGGCTTGGTGGTGCAGTTGCGTTGATTGAGTTCCGTGCTATGTAACATGTATACTTTTTGTACATATTCATATATGTGCACATACACACGTACGAGGATTCGTTTGTTGGTTTCCTGACTGTGGATTTGTACCGCATGTCTGTCATTTGTTCGCTTAATTTACATCAAACAGGCCTTATGCACGCATACTCAGTACGTCGCTAACCCCGAACCATATTGGGGAAAAGAGACCCTAAATCCTAAACCCTAAAAAGAGCATTCATAAAAGAGACTGGGCAGGTTAGTTCGGGGGCTTGCAGCCAGTTCTCTGGTTGCTGGAGACACCACTCTTCGGTTGTTTGATATGACAAGCCTACCCATAGGCTGCATCGTAGTTCCTTTTGGGGATTACCTTATAGGATTCTAATTCGAGCCCCAAAGGAGGAACCACTATGGAGCCTATGGGCAGGGCTTCGAGTAAGGGTTTGGGACTTAGGGTGCACATTTCGAGGTTGGAGGCTATAGGGAGGATTTACGATTGAGGGGATGGGGGCTCGGTGCTTGTGTGTTCCAGGGGTCAAACTCAGGACAGCTGCAAAGGCTTTGTTTTTTTGTTTCAATCAATAACGATCCCGCAGTTAGGCGTGTCCTTCTATTCATGACTCACGACCCCACTACACATTGTCACCGATTTTAAGAAACCTGTTCCTTACCTTTATGGTGCCAGGAATTCTACAACCACAACCAGGGAAGCTTACCAGTCTGTGCGACTGGCGTCTTCGGGTGCAGAGTTCATCGGGGCTTGTGATGCATGACACTGATGGAAGGATGTTGATCTTGCGTCCCATTGAGAGGAGTTGCACAGAACGACGTGCACCCGACGGCCCGCAAGGAAGACCTTACGCTCTTATGCCTTCAACCCAGAACATGAATACTGGATTCGATATCCCAGCAGAAAAAGGTGTTAAACGCTAGCTCCCTTGCCCCCAGAGACATCCAGAGCCCCAGAACCGATCATCCTGGACATGCTTGGAAGACTTGTCCAGGAAAGTCTTTGCGCCTGTGGACGGAGGTTCTAACAGGCAAAGGAGCTGGGGTCATAAGTACTTGTGACCTGTGGCCTATATCAGAGTTTCCAAAACTGGGGGAGTAAAAGCAGAGTCCTTAGTAGAGACCCGGTCGTGGCGTGGGAAGTTGGGGTTCATTGTCCGGTACTGGGTGCCTCATAGAAAAGTCTGGGTGGTGGTCCAACCCTGTTGGTGTCCTTCTCGTGTATCTTACTCTCCTGGAGACCAAGCCCTTTAGACCGAACTTTCGCTGGGGTAATGATTGTAGGGTTTAGGGTTGAGGGGTTCAGGGGTTTAGCGTTTAGGGTTCTGCAGCATGAACCGCACTGTTTTCTGTTTTATCATGGTTCGACTGAACTCAAAGCCTGCCAGTCTTCCTTCGAAAAAGGATCCTACCATTCAGCAGGAGTTAATCGTCGCGATACTATACTAGGCTCTGTTTAGGGTTCAGGCTTTAGGCTGTAGCTCTGTTTAGGGTTCATGGTTTATAGGCTTTAGCTCTGTTTAGGGGTCAGGGTTTAGGCTTTAGATCTGTTTAGGGTTCATGGTTTATAGGCTTTAGCTCTGTTTAGGGGTCAGGGTTTAGGCTTTAGATCTGTTTAGGGCTTAGGGCTTAGCTCTGTTTAGGGTTCATGGTTTATAGGCTTTAGCTCTGTTTAGGTTTTAGGGTTTAGCTCTGTTTAGCGCTTAGGGTTTAGCTCTGTTTAGGGTTCATGGTTTAGGCTTTAGCTCAGTTTCGGGTTTAGGGTTTAGCTCTGTTTAGGGATTAGGGTTGTTTTCTCAAACCGTTGCAAGCTTCGACCCTGAAGCCTAAGCCTTTTCACCGTAGTGCCTTAGTCCTACAGGCTCTCAGCCCTTTGGAAACAGGAAAAACTAAATCCTATTACCGGGGCATAGGCGTACACAAAGACAACGACCAGTAGCGGGATGTTCTTTCTAATTCGCCAGACTTTTTTTCGTGGAAAGCGCTGTAGTGCCTCTATTCGAAGCCTTCGTGAACCCTTTAAGGAACTCTCAAAGGAACCCTTAGCAGAACGCTTCGAGGAACCTCTGCATTAACTCTAAAGGGTTGTGTACTGTAGGCGCCTTAACAATTACCAATACTATTTTCCGGGTTCCTTGTTGCAATCAACGAGAAAATGGGCCCGAAAACCCAGTTCCAATCTAAATGTACGCGCCGACAGGGTCTGCCGTGGCAGCAGCCCGTCCGACAACAAACCGGGCAACTCGTCTGACATGAGTTTTGATATCCATCTCCCTAAGGGTCCATGTGCCCAAATAGGGTTCCGTCGAGGGGTGCCTTTAAGGGTTCTATAACGGTTCTACAAGGCCTTTAGGGTTTAGGGGTTAAGGGTCCATTTACCCAAATAGCATATACTTTGGTCGCACGGTCCTACATTATAGGGAGTACCTTACGGCAAAAAACTATACATATATATATATATATATATATGTACTATTTGGTCACATGGGCCCTTGAAACGTTTGATTAAACAGAAATAGTTTTGGGCCTCTTGAGCGCTGTTGTTGGTTTATGGTGGTTCTTCTGGTTTACAACGAAGGACAGAGTTTTTGAACACGGGAGGGAAAGACGATCGAGCATAGGAAAGAGTTTTCAGGTGCCCTCTGTCTCTACGACCATGCATACATACGTTTTTACATACATACATGACATACAAACGTACATGCATACATACGTGCATTCATTCATTTATGGATTCTTTCGTTCATCCAACCAATCAATCAATCAATCAATCATTCATTCAGTCAGTCAGTCAGTCAGTCAGTCAGTCAGTCAGTCATTCACAATACGTTTTCAAATATTTTCGTGTGCCTTGCTGTTACGTGCGTATTCTGGTTAACGCTCCATTTTGACACCGCAGCTGCTGAAATGCAATGATGTCCTTCCTTTCATGGATGAATGGTGTAGACCTTGAGCCCTAAACTCAGAGACCAAGATACCTAAGCCCTGGCTCGTAAACTGTATCCATGCCCAAGCACAACACTTTGTCCTGGATCACCTGCTGTCATAAGTTCTTCCGTCACTGAGTCACACAGATTGCAACAACCTGGGCGACACAGCCAACTGATGAGCAGGGGTTAATGTAGAAGCCTAAATGCTTGCAGTATTGTTCCCTTGGGTTCCTGATTACAGTTATACTGTAAAGGAGCTCACAACCCTATTCTAATTATTAAGACCCCCTTCCACTCTTCAGCCGTAACATAAGCCCCCCGTCCGTAGGAGCTGAATCCCAACAACACCCTTTGCGACATAAGCCGCTTTACAAAGCCTCTCCCAACCTGTTCACTCCAAGACTAAGACTCTAACCCAGAGAGAAACGAGGCTACTATTTCGTTGTGACTGTTGCCTCCCTGGACGGCTGTCACTTTGCGCGAAGAGCTCTTTAGGGTTTTTTATGGTTTTGTTTGTGTCTTTCTCCCTGCCCGGCCGTTTGCCGGGTTTGGGGTGAAGCGAAGGGGTTGTATGTTGTTGTCAGCTCGTCGGTTCAGGGCATTAGGTTTTGGCCCCTTTCGGTGAATTCTTCTTTTTACGTCGGATAGGTTCGGATCTGTTGTCTTTGCTTAGTTGCAGTTCTGTTTACAGGATTCTCGAGATGATCATAAATGCTGTTGGTAACCTTTTTCGCGGCATGGCTCTCCAACGTATCATAAGCCAGAAGTCATGTTCGACAGGGCTGGCAGTGATACTCTGCTGTTCTTGGTGTCTGTCAAGGCGATTGCTTATGTTTGCATGCACATATATATTCTTAGTTATATCATGTGTGTGTATACATATATATATATATATATATATATATATATATATATCAGGTTGTAAGGCTCTTAGGTGAAGTTGGGTGTCAGGCTTCGGCTTCCGGATACAGGCTTGGGTTAGCCTTATGCCGTATAGTAGGGCTGTGCGCTGAAGAAGCTGAATCTAGCGGCGCCAAAGTCGATCTGCGTAAGCCAGTAGCTTTGAGGATTTGCATTTACCTACCACAACAGCCATAGCATTGAAGGTCTTTTGACATGGTTATGGATGAAATGTTTCCTTTCAAGCTTCGAGGTGTTTTTCGTCCAACGTGGCATTACAGCGCCAGCGACACCCCAAACCGTGACAATAAGTGTGTTACGCCCTACTTCAAGATTCCTGGGTCCCAGGCTCCTGTAACACCAAAACTAGGTGGCAATTTGGGAAACTTTTTAGTCTCCCTTATGGTTCCTGTAGAGGTACCTAGTCATAAAGACTCTTCAGAGCCCCAAAACTACAACCCAGAAAATAATTTTCAGCCTCGAACGTCCTTCAACAAACGCCACAACTACAGTCCCGGTTTCCAGGCTTTGTGTCGGCCCCAGAATGTCAGGTCAAGCCAAGGTGCCGAGAATATCAGGTATGACAGAGCAGACGCATTTCGTGCAAATGCGATTTTGCATCTTGCAATGCTTGTCCAGTCAGTAACCCTAAACCCCGAACGACCGCAGCTCTGAAGAATAATCCCCGACAGCACAAACCGAACCGTCGGAACATTGGTGCTACCTGCACCCCAAAAGCATGTTGAACAGACTTTGGGCCATTATCTTCACTACTTTCGAGGGTTGAGGCAAAGCCTGGGACGGTGGGCTAGTAGCATAATGCCTGATGTCCTTTGCAGTGATTCACAAACCTATAACCTTAATCCCCAGTTAAAGCCCCAAACACTGAGCCGAAATCCTGCTGATAAGCTGACTGCGGTGGTCAGGCAAGTCTGAATGTGTCGCCTCAAGCGGCTGCGTCGGTCTCGAGTACAAGGCAATACCCATGAACCCCATGACTGCTCTCCTTCTGTACATTTGGATAACATTTGGTTTAGGGTTTTGGGTTGAGGGTTTAGGGTTTTTGTTATCCAAGCCCCTAAGTAAGTATGCAAGTGTTTATCTTATGGCGGTTTACATACGAGGGGTTGTTTTGTGCCCATAGACTTCGGATTAGTGTGTGTTTCAAGCGGCTGAGTGATGTGAGGTTTCCTGATGCTTCGGATTACGCACTCTACTTTGCTTCTGTGCATTTTTGAATTTATGGGCTACCTGCTTGAAAGTTCGGTCTCTCAGTACGTACGTGCCATCTTGGGAGGCCAGAAATATTCTAATTGAAGCTACGCCTCTTGCAACCCCAACCGTGAACTGTAAGGCCCGCACGAAATATAGTCTCCTTACAAAATTCTCTGCGGTAGCCTGCCTCACCAGTTTCTTTGCTTTCTTCTATGGAAAACCCTGAAAAACCACCCACACACCACAAATACCCCACGGCCGAGGACATGCTGATTTGGTGTAGTTTTCTACGGCATAATCCTTCAGGCGTGAGATTACCGCAGGCCCTTGAACCAGAGACACATAGGCATTAGTCCATAAACTCTAAAGCCAGATCTTGAGCGTAAGACCCTGAAGCCCTAAACCCGAACCATGAAGCCCTAAACTAAACCCTAAACTCTAAACTGAGATTTCCCCTGTCACAGGGCAGCCGCTGTGAGATTTGGACGAGGAGCGAGGGCATTCAGGCCTCCAGGGAATCCAGTGTCACGGCTGCTTAGGGCTTAGAGGGGCTTCGAGGGTGCAGAAGAGGTTGGAGCCGTTGATGGGTGGGGTTGAGGATACTCAGCTTGTCTTATGGAAATAAAGAGTTTTGGATGGTGTCGTACTGGGACCCGAGGGATGTCCTTTGAAAAGTTGTTTCTGAAAGGTTTCGGACCGTAAGTAACTTTAAGAGCTTGGTTGTTTAACATGGTTCTAGGCTGCCTTCCACAGGGTCTCTGAGATTTATAGAGTTTAAGACGGTTTCGGGACTAGGGTTGCCTGCAGAGCCGAGGTGTTCAGACCTGTCAACACTCCCCGCAAGCATCAAAGGCACCTTTCAGGGTCTAGGGTTCAGTGTCATGGAGGATCGGTATACATAGTATAGGGGGCTTAGTAATTAGAATAGGGTTTTGGGGCCCATTATACTATAATTATGATAAGGAGCCCCTGGAATAGTATAGGTAATTATTTAGGCACCTACATTGTTAGTAAGTGCGGTTGTGGAAGAGTACCTAAACAAGGGCCTGCTCATTACTGACTTTCTGAGTCCAAAACTGAACAAGCAGCAAGAACCTTGTACGTGTGGTCGGTTATGGAAGAAGCTGATAAATTCTGCAAGGTGGATTTGCCTAAGCAAGGCCTCTTATCCCTAAGCCCGAAACACCAAGCCCTAAACCCTCTCTTATGACCTTCGTGCCATGTAGAAGAGGAGCTCAGCTCAACAAACACCCTATACCCCTAAAACCCTGAACCCCTAAAACCCTCAACCCTAGCCCCTAGACCCTAAACCCTAAACCCCAAACCCCTAAAACCCTACACCTGGGAGTCCCAAGGCCCGAACCTCTAAAAGAGGGTTTAGGGTATAGGGTTTAGGGTATAGGGTTTAGGGTTTAGGGGTTTAGAGGTATAGGGTTTAGGGGTATAGGATTAGGGGTATAGGGTTTAGGGTTTAGGGGTTCAGGGTTTAGGGGTTTGGGGTTTAGGGGTTAAGTAAGGGTTTAGGGTTAAAAGGTCTTCGAACCTTAGCCTTTAAAACCCTGAGACTAGTGACTTACCTAGAGGCTCCATAGTAGTTCCCTTTGTGGTTTATATTAAGGATCCCATAACGTAATCCCAAAACGGAACTACAATGGAGCCCATGGGTAAGCTTGCAAACCCGGAAAGCCTGCCAAAGACCCCGCAAAGAGCCCTTCATAGAGCCCTTATGGACCTTACTAATGTGCGTGTAAGTACAGCCCCAAATAAACCTTGAACCCCAGTAGAGCCCTTATGGACCCTACGGGTGGGTGTGTAAGTACAGGCCCAAATAATCCTTGAACCCCAGACCTTCAACCGTATCCCAGACCCCCGGGAGGATCCAAAAAAGTAGATCCCTTAATGGGGGATCCTATAAAGATTAGGGGATCTACTTTCTAGATCCTTCGGGGGGTCTGGGATGCTGAGGTGGCTACACCTGCTTGAGTTACGGAGTTCCCGCGACTTTGCGACCCGGAAACTTCGAGGCAAGGGTGAGAGCTTCGGTTAGGGGTGTTGTGGATGATTTAGGGTTTGCCTGGGTCCGAGATAACCTTCTTGTTTTAGGGGCTTCGATCACGAAAACATAATAATAAGGAGCCCGAAGAAAGGGTAGGTTCTTTAGGGTCCAGGCTGGGTTTAGCTCTGATCGCTTGCAAGTCCCACGCGAGTAATTAGAACAGCTCCGACTTTGCAGATTCGAGGTGCGTTCAACAGGAAAAGGCTTTGTCATGTTTGACATAGAAGGTTTAGGGTTTAGCGGTTTAGGGTTTAAGGTTTGGGGTTTTGTGTGTACCTAGGGTTGGCTTTAGAGGTGTATTACGGCTTTGAAATTTGTGGTTTAGGTTGTCAAGATCCTGGATACGGTTGATGATGATATAAATCCTGCATTACCCATAACTAAGGAATATACCATCATTCCCATAGTTTGGTGTCCTTCAGGTAATGCAGGATATCATCAACCGTATTTACCGACTCTGTAGGGCTCCTTAATAATTAAACCCTAAACCCAAAACCCTAAACCCTAAACCCTGGCTCTGATTTAATATAACTAGACAAGGCATACAGCACTCTTCGGGCTGTGGTGCTCGAGATTCGAACTTAGGGGTTTAGGGTTCACGGTTTGGGTTTTCGGGGGTTTTAGGGTTTTAGGGTTTAGGATTTTAGGGTTTTAGGGTTTTAGGGTTTAGGGTTTAGGGTTTAGGGGTTTAGGGGTTAAGAGTTTAGGGTTTAGGTTTTTAGGGTTACGGGTTTGGAAGCTCAGGTTGCAGGGTTTCCAAATCAGGGTTTTGCGGCTTGGACATTGGGCCTTTGCGGATGAGCTCTCCTTATGGGGTTTCGATTCTTGGGTTGTTATATAGACTTTCTAAGGCTGAGGAACTTAGGGCTAAGGATAAGGGTAATCTAACGGGTCGGATTCAAGATCTGGTATCCGGCGGTTAGCGTATAGCTTGTTGAAGATAAGTCGTTGTTAGTTGTTGGGCGCAGACCCCGACAAGATTTCGATCCACAAAATGCTAACATCTGCATGGTTACTTTGCTTTCTAATTGTGGAGGCAGCAACAGTCACAACTAGTCTGGCTGCGAACCTGCCCGGGCACACTTGCCAGTAGACATCGAAGGGACAGCCCCAATGCGCTCAATCCCTCCAAACCGAATGATTCGCCTTCAAAACCCTCTGAATCCCTGAACTCCAAACCTCAAACCTTGTAAACCCTAAACCTCTGAACTCTGCCTTGGGATCCTCAAGGCGGTTGATGGCGGCGAGGGGCGGGTCTGTCGTGGCGCAAGTGTCACTGACAACCAGCCGTCGTACTTCCGCGTGCTGCAAGGCCGCGCAGATAGTTCTAATCGGGTTTGGATATTCAGACTTTGGCTCAAGACCCTGCAGATCCAAGAGCCCCGGGTGGACGGGGTGGGGACGGGTCGACTTAGGGTGCAGCATGAAGGGTGTGGGGCTACTAGCACTGTGGACATTTCCATCGCTGCAACTCTTGACATATCTTGACACTATGACCCTTAACACTATGACGTAGCTTTTGGTTTTAGCCTTCTCAGCCCTAGAGCGTCTCGTAAACGGAACTTGTTCTGCCGTCTGTTACCTTCGATCTTAGAAACATGGGCTGATCATACCGACATCGTTTCATTTGCTATATGTATAATATATATATATATATATAGACCCCTCTCATGTCAATTAACTTATATCCTTACTGCAGTAACTTAACTTATTCCTTACCTTAGGGCTCCAGGTACACAAATAGTACCTATTCTGTCTGGCCTGCTTGAAGCCCCAGAAACCCTCAGCCCTAAACCGAGGTAACTTGAGTTCCCTTCCGGAACAAGAGACCCGAAGGCCGTTCCATCAGCCCGACGAGCCCGAACCCCGAACCCCAAACCGCCTCCCCCGGTTCAGGGTTTAGAGTTTAGGCTTGAGCGGTTAGAGTTTAGAGTCTATGGTTTCAGGTTTTCGATTTTGGCACCTTTAAACCCCCCGAGCCTTAGAACCCAATAAACAAAGCCCGAAAAGCCCTAGCCCTGAAACCTAACACCGGCCCCACACCCTTCCCGAAGAACAGGCACCTCGTTGCAGAGTTGCCAGCGCCAGTGTCAAATCAGCGATGACTGCGTCGGCGTGGAGCATCATGAAGGTTGGGTGTGGGTTCAGGATTTGGGACCGCAAGATGATATCATGTTGGAAGCTTGAGTACGTACTAATACCACTCCTGAAAATAATTCCTGGGCATAGGGTGGAACAGGGCAGGGGGTGAAGGGCGTGCGCCTTTGGGGGTGCCGTATGTGTGAACAATGTCCGAGTTCAGGGTTAGGGGTTTAATGTTGATCGCCGACGGGTGTAGTTGGAAGTCACGCGTAGTTTAGTGCTCTAGGTTTTGACAGATCCCATAATCCTTCTCTGTTTCAGAAAGGTTTGGGGTGTAAGGGTTGTAGAGGCGAGGCTCCCCCCCAGTCTGTACATAGTCCGCAGGCATGCGGACAAGTCACTGCAATAGAGCATTTACGAACAAGTTGATCCTAAATCCTCGGCCTTGAACTGTAAGCTCGCAAGGTAATCTGTAATCTTACGCCACCGATTCATCAACCCATACTGGGCTTTTTTCGCTAAACCCTAAACCCTAGAGTGGAGTTCCATAAAAGTTCACATGAACGACTGGTAGCATTCTGTACCTAAACCCGAAACTCTACATAAACCCTAAACTCCTACTAAATGCCCGGAGCCTCATAACTCTGGCTTCCACTAAGCTCAATAGACCCTGTAACGATGTGTGGAAAACTCCCCTTGACCCGTGTAAGGAAGAGCGCAAACGCTATGTTAAACTCCCGTAAACCTCTGTTCACCTGGGACCTCTGCAACGAAAGCCCGAAGCTCCCCAAAAAAAAACAGAACCCTAAACCTCCACGATGCTAACATCCCAAGTAACCTCTCTAAAGCTTCCCTCGAACCAAGATCCGCAAGCGCTTAAACCCTAAGACCCTACAAACCCCAAAACCTGAACAACCCCTCAACCCAAAAACCCTGAGAGTCCTTTGAGCTCAAAACCTTCAAACCCTTCAATCCTAAACCCCAGAAAGGCCTTGGAATCTCAAAACCTGAACAAAAACGCAGAAAGATAGGACATATGTTTATACAATCGGGGCTCTGGAGTACCTTACTTTATTGTTCTTTCTTAGAGGAACCATGACATGTTTCCCCCTGGTTACTTAAAAGCCCAGTTAATAGAACTCTTCTAGACCCAGAGTCTCCCTTGGAGGTGGGCGCTGTGAGCTTTGGACCCGAACTCTTGGCATCCAGGCGTCCAAATCACTTGAAGGCCGGCCCGGGGGTGCTGCCAAGGTTTTAGGCCTATTATGTGGTTTTGGTGTTTTTGTTTGGGGGTCCAGGGGGGTGGGGGTGGGAATTTAGGGTTCATGTGTTTTTTGTTGGTGTGGTTTAGTGCGCTTGTGCATTCGTAGTGGTTGTTGTTTTGCGTGGTTCTGCGATGTGTTGTGCTGTTGTGTTTCTTTTAGGCGTTTGTCTGTTATTTGTTGTTGGTGTTTTTGTGTTGTCTCGTTTTGTGCTTCTCTTGAATGTCTTGTTTTTGGCGGTTAGCGTACTTGAGTGTTGCTTGCTCTGTGTTTGTTAGCTACTGTACTTGTGCGCGCGTTTGGTCTGTATGGGGTCGGGGTGCCTTTTGAGGTGGTCCCCAAGCGGGGGTAGCCACTCTTAGGCCACCGTGTCCGTGAGGCACGTAGCAGTGCTGATAATGTTATCTTCAGTCCGATATAGTTGACTGCCCGCGATGCGGAGATCGTTGCCAGACTCTACGCGTAGATAGTTGGATTCGTCGGACTTTGCTGCGCAAGAGGCCCGTGAAGTGAAGAAGTGTTTGGTCTGTACAGGTCTATGCATAAGGAGTGTTCAGGATTTGTGTTTGAAGATTGTCGGGGTTGAAGGTGCTGCTTTGTTTTTTAGGCTGTATGTAGGCTTCTATCTAAGGGTTCATCGGAACTGCCTCTGGGTTTCAGCCCAAGGCAGGTCTCCAGGGTTCGGGGATCACAGCGTCACAGCGGAGTGAACAGTGTAAAGAACAAGTTTTCTACGGGAGTTTAGCTCGGATTTACACAGGACTGGAGTTTAGAGTAGGTTTGGGGTGTACATTCCACACAACGCCGAAAGCGGAACGGAAAGTAAGACACTAGAGACAAGCCATCTGCTTCCATGCTCCCAATTTTCGGCTTCCGCTCTATAGATCAAACCGATGTACCTGCCGGAGAAGGTAAAAAACCCACACACACACAGAGAGACACAATAAGCAGATTTTTTCCAGGCATCACATTGTGTTATAAGCTGGGTCAAAGAGGATTATGTCTGGGCATTATAGCACCCTAGGGCTTTGTCACAGGTGTTGGATGTCAGGGCGGAGCATTGCTACGACGTTTATCGATGTCGTGTTCATGTTCAGCATCGGTGCTGTCTTGCAGGCAAGTGCTGGTAGCAAGGACTAAGATACGTTGCCAACGACAGAGTGGTCGGAGATGTAACTGCTGCTGTCCGATTGCAGTCCCCAACCGGCATCTGCTGTAATCTGGACCCAGCCCTTTGAAGAAGGAGCCTTGATCGCCTTACTTAAGTGGTGACGATGAGTCAGGAGCAGGAAGGAAGCGACCAGGAAACGACGGTAACGTTGATGACTCAGCACGACAATGACGGTGATCACGATGGTGTGGAGGAGGGGGAGGAGGAGGAGGAGGAGGAGGAAGCGGATGAGGAGGAGGAGGAGGAGGGTGTTTTCGATTTTCGCCAAAGCTTAGATGGAAAGTATGTACACCGGAATATTCAAGTGCCTGATGCCCTTATAAGATTGTGATGACAGAACCTGTTGATGTCCATCTTATCGTCGACCACATGCATGACATGGCTCGAAGCGGCTTCTAAGGTTCCAGAGTTGCAACATGGCAGTTTGCATGTGATGCTGATAGCTACTTGTGTCGTGATGCTAAATGCTGCCCGTGCTGCTGATAATTCGCTCGTTGTGTTTCCTTTCTCTCTCTCTCTCTCTCTCTCTCTCTCTCTCTCTCTGTATAAATATAGATATATATATATGTGTGTGTGTGTGTGTGTATTATGTACATGTATGGAAAGCTGCATCCAGAACTCAGAAGGTTAGACTCTCTTGAGACCAACCCGGAGCCGTCCCACAGGCTATTCCTGCTGGCGCTTCGTTCCTGAGGGTGCTGTCGGGCCCACGCCAAGAGAAGGCCCAGCTCGAGGTAAGTAAGAAATCAGGAGAAATGCCGCCCGGAAGACATCTTAGGGCTTGGGGGGTTGGGATTTACAGGGTTTAGGGCAGTTCAGGGTGTAGGGTATCGGAGGTGTTGTCTAGTATGTATGTCCTGATCTTGAGGCAATCATGAGCTCTTGATGCTTCACATACCATGAGATCTTGGAGTGGTAGACAGGCATAGACAGAGCAGGCATTCCTGTTGCCTACCCTGATCTTCAAGCGGTAGATTTGCCGTATCATAGCTGAGCTAGGCGACTGTGTTGCTGTTGTATGGTCCAGGTTTCTTGAATGACTCTGTCCAAGTATGCAGACGGTCTGCTTAGTCCCCTAAGGCCTGTGCTAAACCGGAATGTTCGCCATAGCTGACGAATGCTGAAGAAGCCCTTCACTTAGTAAGTAGCTGAGTGGATACACTACACACTTTTTGGGAAATAATACCCACTATAAAACAAAAAGCGTACACTTTTGGGGGGCTTATGAACTCAGCAACTAAGTTCACCCACGACCGGCAAGCATTTCAATGCTCCAGGCGAGTTCGAGGCTGTGGATGGTGCCGTCGACCGTGTTTGCCGCGGTGCCAGTACCTGGGGCACGGAAAAGGGAACCAGTAGGGTTTGGGATGCAGTTTAGGGTTCAGGGCTTGGGATGTAGGAGCTTGAGGCTTTGAGGTTGTGGGTTCCCGTTTAGGCTGGATCGTCTGCGGAGCTAGAAGATTAGAATTAGAGCACTGGTAACCCCCTTGTTCCCTACTTGGAGGTTCATGGGTAGTTTTAAGTGGGGTTATAAGTCCCATACTTTAGGTTATAACCACAGTTATCCTACTTATAACCCTACTTATAACCAGCCAAGTAGCCAAGGAGCATGATGCTCCTGGAATACTCTAATTTCTTGGGGTGTTCCGAAAATAGGGGTACCTCATTTTGGGGTCCCTATAATTAAGGGTCCTGCTATTTAGGGTACTAAATTAGGTTTAGGTTCCTTATATTCGGAAACTCACTTTAAAATTTGTTCTTCTCTGAAATAGGATCCTTGTTTAGGTCCCCAACATAGTACCGCAGCCTTCTAGTAAAAGGGACCCTAACAGAGAACTTCATTTCGAAATCTAAACGCATGGTTTACGGCCGGAACACTTGACCGACCTCCCAGATGCCTAGATAATGCAAACACTAGTTTGGGGCTCAGGCTGCATGCTAAACCCTAAACCCCTCTATAGTCCCTAAACCCCGAAACCCTACAGGCATTTCTAGCTTGTGACTGGTATGAGTTTCAGGGCTTGGTTTGGCAACCTGGGCCTGGGTTTGATATGTTCATGCTCATGGATAACAATATGGAAGTTTCCAAAATTTCGGGGTACCTTATTCTGGGGGTCCCTATAATACGGTTTCTACTATTTAGGGTACTATATTCGCAGTTTTCGGAAGCTCCCATACAACCCTGTCAGAATCAGAAACCACTGTCTACTGGCCCCAAACTCTCGTACAACTTCAGCCACGAACCCTATCGCCAACTCCTCCGAGGTCCCGGTGACAATGCTGCAACCTACTTCGACGTCGTCTCTGGTTTGCCGTCTCTGATGTCTTGCCAGGCCCAGTGGCTTTTGGGGCTTACCCCAAGATTCCAAGTACCCAATAATCACACACTCTCCAACATCCTAACCTGCATAACTACTGTCCTAAAACCGAGCGGCTGAGGGCTCCGGGCCTTACACGCCGAAGGGCTCTAAGACTGCAGGGTCTGCTATACCCCCCTTGGACTAATATAGGGGCCTTAATAATTAGAATAGGGTTATTGGGGTATGTTATACTATCATTATAGTACGGAGCCCCCAAAATAGTTATTTATTAAGACCTCCTTGGGCCACTTCGTATGATTTAGTCGTTGAAACCCTTATAGATGCCTAGTATAGACGCCTTGCAAAACCTGCATGACAGACCTGTACAAAACTACAGACGCCTCATACAACCCCACTAAAAACCAATACAAGTTTTAGAAGCCTTATAAAACCACACTTAAAAGCTTATACAACTCCGAAGCCCTCCGGGTTCGGTCGTAGACCCAGGGTCTGCCCGAACAGCCTATTGTTTTCCGAACTGATCTAAGGAAACCACAGCATTGGAGCCCTAAGAATGTAGGTCAGGTCGGGTTTAGGGTTTACAGTTTACGATTTCTGGTTTTGGGTTTACATAGGGTTGGGGGTTTCGGCTGCTATGCCCCCGAACCCTAAGGCCATCACGGCCCGTGTAACATTGCAACAAGGGGTTGCAAGGGTTGCAAGGTTTCCTGTGCGGCTACAAAAAGTTCTATGGGATTTTACAGGGTTCTACGAGGTCCATATAGTATTTGCCTTCCCCAACTATAAGATCATATCCAGGATCCCAGTGTCAAGGCCATTGAAGGCAAAACTGCATGCTCTTCCTGTCCGCCTGCCACATGGTGACAGGATCTATGCCGGATCACCAGCAGCTGCAAGGGTGCATGAGCTGCAGTTAGTTGGGGGTCCCTATATATACTACGATTATGGAATTAGGTTCCCCCCCCAAAACAAACACATTATTAGGATGGTCTTTTGGGGCCTAATTCCATACTGGTAGTGCGTATGGACCCTCTTGGTCAGTCGGGGGTAAAGCCTCGCGTGTTCCATGCGGGTTCGTGGTTCCATCAGTGGCCCAGGTCTAGCAGCGGGGGCAGTTTGCTGCAAGATCGCGAATTTGGAAAGCTGGGAATTCTGCGGCATTTTAGTTCTCACTAGGTGCCCCCAATCTGAGTGCTTCGGTGTGTGAGGGGCAACTAAATGAGAGTTTCCGCAAACAGGGGACCCTAATACAGTACCCTAGATAGTAGGATCCTCATTAAAAGGACCCCAAAACAAGGTACCCCGAATTTTCGGAAACTCCCAAATAGCCTTGAAGATATTTGAAGAAGAACCTTGTCTTGAAACCCAAAATTTTGCAATTGCAAACCCACACCGGCATCCTTCAAAGCCCTATCATCAAGCCGTGAAGCTCTAAAAAGCAGACGCTAAAAGAATACAGCAATCGTAGGTCTCAACCCATACCCAAATCTGAACTCGTAAATGTCCTGCATAAGTATTATAGAGGCATAAATAATTACCTTTTTTTTTGTTTGGGCGGGGGCTCCTTATTCTAATTATAGTATAATAGATCCCGTATAATGAGAGCACTTTAAAGGAACCCTATTCCAATTTCTAACGCCCCTAAAAGATGCATAAGCATAAGCACACTTCCCGCAAACCCCGCACTCCTTTACGAAACTCTAGGGCCTTGACTTAGGCGTAGAGTACCATCAAACTCTGGGGTTAGGGTGTAGGGTTCAGGGCAAACTCCAGGGTTTAGGGTTTAGGGTAGGGCCTTGACTTAGGCGTAGAGTACCATCAAACTGGGCGGTGCGAGCTGTGGAAGCGCAGCGCTGGTATCGGCAGCAGCGCTGCACTCGCAGGCGAGATGGAACAGTGCTCCAGGTTCAGAGTTTAGTCAGGTGTATATATATCTATAGTATAGTATATATATATATGTATGTATACGTTTCAAAAGACATGATATGGCATTATGTATGTATACAGATGTATACGTGTGTTGAGTAGTTTGTTTATAGTATTTAATTTTTTACTTCAGATTTAAGGGTTTGAAGTTCCTGGGATACGCGGTAATGTTGGGTCCGGATTAACACCCCCCCCCCCCCCCCGCTGTCAAGGTTGGCCCGGTTGAACTTGTTCATGGGTTCAAGTTTTTCCCGGCCCCCCCCTGATTATGTGGGGATGGGGTTAATTATTAAGTATAGTAGTAAGTAGATAGAGAGTACTTAGTAAAGTATTGCAGTCGTACAATAGGAGTACAGTAGTATAGTAGTAGTACAGTAGTAGTAGTACAGTAGTACAGTAGTAGTATAGTAGTATTACAGTAGTAGTAGTAGTAGTACAGTAGTACAGTAGTAGTACAGTAGTATAGTAGTATTACAGTAGTAGCAGTAGTACAGTAGTAGTACAGTAGTATAGTAGTATTACAGTAGTAAAGCAGTAGTACAGTAGTAGTACAGTAGTATAGTAGTATTACAGTAGTATAATATTAGTATAGTAGTAGTACAGGTTTAGGCTTCAGGGTTTGGGGTTTAGGGTTAAGTCATAAGCCTCTAAATCCCCTAAATCCATATTTCGAGGATTTTCGGGGATGGCCCCGTCTAATCGGGGGGGGTTAATATGAGCTCCGGTACTATAGGGGTGGGGTCTAATGGACTTCTTCATTAAGCCCATGACATGCCCGGGACGGCCCCGTCTAATCTGGGGGGGTATCTTAATCCGTAAACAACATTACCTGGTTAATAGTATGAGTTGATTTTTCGACATCTCGAAGTAGGGATGGCCGGGACTCGTAATTCGGGCGGCGGGGTGTCTGTGTTTTCATGCTCGTGCTGATGCTACTATGCTTGGAGTGTACAAGCTTCCTAAAGCCTATGATTCAACTCTTATTCCAGACCCTATTGACCCCAGACTCAAACTTGAAATTTAGGTTCCTTGCAAATCGCTATAGCAATACCGGAGTTTGCGCCAGGGGCGTTTGTGCTTTGACTTTCAGGTCTGTAAGTATCCCAGGTTGAAGGATATAATGGCCTGTAGGGCCCAGGATCCCATCTTGCTATACTAAGGCTACGGTATCTTTGTTTTGGTGTTTCTGTTGGGGTCCGTGTTTTTTTTGTGGAAATCGCATGCTATCATGTGGGCTTCGGGTGATGGCCTCCCTTCATTACTCGTTTCGGTAGGAGCCTTATAGAGTTATGGAGTGAAAGAATGACGACCCAATAGAGGATCTGGATGTGAGATTCTCAGCTTTTCGGTGCGCCGCGGCCTGATCCTAAAGTCTCCATTGTAGATCCTCTGTTTGGTTTGAAATTTGATTAACCAGTTTTACATGTAGGATCCAATAAGGTAGCCCCTACAATGGAGACTACAAGGTAGTAACAAGGCGGCTTGAAAGACTCCTCCTGTCTTTACGGGCTTGATGCTCCGAGTTTTGGTCCTGTCCGCAGGCTACAGTTGCTGGAGGTTCGTGGAGAAGCTGGCTGCTTGGCTGCCACCGTCGTCAGTACCAGTAGGCCCCTGGCAAGAATCCCAAATATGTCACTCCAAAGCCATGTAACTTTAAACCCATGGACCCAAAATCCTAGACTCCGAGACCTCACATCTGAAACCCTGCGGCCGAAACCCCAATACTGAAGATAACCATATACCAATCCGGAATCCATATGGGAGTTTCCGAAAAAGTAGGCGTGCCTTATTTTGGGGTCCTGACAACAAGGAGCCTGCTATTTAGGGTACTCTATTAGGGTCCCCTATTTTCGGAAACTCTCCTTTGCCCCTCACGAGGCCCTTTCATTCGCGTTGCAGGGGCGGGGCATGCAGAAGTAGTGATCGAGCAATCGGTTACGTCTGAATCCGCCTTCCTTTCGCCGATAAAACAACTCTCTTCGAGGTTTGGGGTCTGCGGATCAATAGAGTTTCTGCCTAGTGGTTTAGGCTTCAGGGGCAAGGATTTAGGGGCTTCGGCAGTGCCTGACAACGTTTGAAGCCTGCCTCGCAAATAAGTGATGCTTGCGTGCAGATTGATTATCTCAATCGGAGCAAGCATCTTCGTACTTGAGTTTGCAAGCCTGAATCTTCTGGGGGGGGGTTATATACACTGTGTAAACCCTTTAAAGACAAAAGTGTAAGCTACACTTGCTCTGTGGAGTTGACATCTAAGTCATAGACCCCCGAGAACCTCCCACATGAACCCAAAAGGCAAAAGACACACCCAGAGATTCCAGAACCCCTTAATTACGGAATGTACCTTAAATTGCAACAGGAACCCGAATATGATTTAACCTCTATAATTAAGGGGCATGAAGGGGTTTGGGAGTCCCTGAACAGATAGAAAGGACCGCACCCGTTGCAGATTCCATGTGTTGGTTTGGTCGTCGATGATCGGGAAACAAATGCATGTTCGCACAACCTAGCACTAGCTCCCCCGGTTCTAGGAAAACCCTAAACCCCCTGGTATAGGAATTCTAGCTGCACCACAGGTAGAAAAGAGCCCTCAAACAAAAACCTAACAGGGTGCTGTTGTAAATCAGTGGTGATACATCCCCCTGCATCCAAGCCGGATCTCGGGCTCGACCTTCCTGAACCCGATAAGATCGGGGTTTGATGTTTGGTGGCTGTCGGATGTTCAGCTCAGTGTGACTAGGCTGAAGCCAGCGCGAATCATAGATGGGTTCTTGTTCGGTTGTGATTACTACGATCGCTCGGATTCCCCTACCACTTCCCGTGCAGCTCTCACCTGAGCAAGCCACGACTGAAGGATTCGTGATGCGGTGAGCTTCGACAGCAGCTCGGAAACTACTTTGGACATCGGCATCAACATGCATGTCGTTCACTCTAAGCGGTCCCTGCCAAAGACGACTATGTAAAGTGCACACTGCAGACCTCACATCGCAGGCCCTTCGCCCTCAACTGTGGACCCTCATGAGACTCTTAAACTGCGCATGAGACCTAACTCTGTAACTTGCTGCAAAAGGGTGCCACATCCTTATACGTGCTGAACTGTTAACCCTGCATGCCGCCATGCTCTTACATCATGCATCCTGCCGCTTCAGAAGTTGTGTTTCAGATCGGGTTTAGATCCGTAGTTAGAAGTTAGTCCATAAGGGCGTGTACTTTTCTTCGATGGATTGCATTGACATCGAGGGGTGAGCTTCGCTCTACAGTGCAGATGGCACATTCAGGTTTTTGGAGTTCTTTGGTTCTTTGGAGTCTTTGGTTCTTTGGAGTCTTTGGTTCTTTGGAGTCTTTGGTTCTTTGGAGTCTTTGGTTCTTTGGAGTCTTTGGTTCGTTAGAGTCTTTAGTTCATTGGTTCATGGCTTCGATGTAGTGGTCGATGTGCGCTAAGCAACAGTTGCTGGCACGATGCAGCCGAATTTTGCTAGATCCAGCTTCATGCGTGTAGCGTGGAATTGAGGGTGTAGGGTTTAGGATTTAGGGTTTAGGCTTGAGGATTTAGGGCTTGGGATTGGTTTAGTGTTTAGGGCTAGTACATCGGCCATCCTAAACTCACTGAGACTGCTCAGGTATTCCGCTGGACCTTGATCCAGGATTTGTCCTAATATAGGGAACGAGTAAGCATGTTCCCTTGTTACAGTCCCTTTATGAGATAGTCATGCTATACTGTCCCATTCCCCCAAATCTTCCTTTTCTAGTCTACTTCTGACGGCCCTGTACACCCAGTCTGGTCCGAGCTGCCCAAGATCCTGGAACGGTTTAGGGTTTTAGGGCTTTAGGGTTTAGGGTTTTAGGGTTTTAGGGTTTAGGGTTTTAGTGTTTTAGGGTTTTAGGGTTTTAGGGTTTAGGGCTTTAGGGTTTTAGGGTCTAGGGTTTTAGGGTTTTAGGTTTTTAGGGCTTTAGGGTTTAGGGCTTTAGGGTTTTAGGGTTTAGGGTTTTAGGGTTTTAGGGTTTAGGATTTTAGGGTTTTAGGGCTTTAGGGTTTAGGGTTTTAGGGTTTTAGGGTTTAGGGCTTTAGGGTTTTAGGGTCTAGGGTTTTAGGGTTTTAGGTTTTTAGGGCTTTTAGGGTTTAGGGCTTTAGGGTTTTAGGGTTTTAGGGTTTTAGGGTTTAGGATTTTAGGGTTTTAGGGCTTTAGGGTTTAGGGTTTTAGGGTTTTAGGGTTTAGGGTTTTAGGGTTTGGGGTTTGAGGGTTTTTAGGGTTTAGGTTTTACCAACCCTGAACCCTATACTCAAGCCAGCGATTGCGATTCCCTCCCCAACAGCGAGGAAGATTTCACAGCACAGTGAGCTGAGCGACGTCCACAACGTGGACGGTACGACAGCATGGTGGACCTTGACTTTTGCGCATATATATATATATATATATGTGTGTGTGGGGAACTCTATGCACCCTGAAACAGTTTAGCTCAGTTTGTAAATTGCACAGGGTTTAAGCTTTAGGGACATTGTAGCCCGTTGGAGAGCTGAACGTTTCATTCAAACTCGATGGCTATGAGCCGGCCAACCAGTAACTTGAAAAAAGGATAGACACCGTCACCTGCACGGAAAAAAAGCATGGTCGAATTGCATGGTCTTTTAAGCCGGACTGCGGCACCCAGGGTCTCATCGTAAACAGCAGGAGACGACTTGCATGCCAACTCTCAGTTCGATGCATCGGGCTACAATGAGTTCAAGCCCCAGAGAGTCCATGTACACTACCATGGAATCAGACCCCCAAAACCCATAATAGGGATGGTCCTTTAGGACGTTATTCCATGATGGTACAGCAGGGGTGCTTATGTGACCAAGGTAAAGGTTCAGGGGTTTAGGGTTTGGGGTGCGGGGTTTGGGGTTGACCAGCAACCCCCAACTCCCCGTTAATCGAGCGCTTATGGTCCTTAATCCTGGGTACATAATAATATAGAGGGTAGTTGGGGGGTGCTGGGACGGTTTAGGGTTCGGGCTTATGTAACCATTGTAGGTAACCCCGTCGAGACGGAAAGTTCGCTTTTTGAGGCTCAGACGAACCTTCCGACCAAGGAGAAAGGGGGCCCAAGTGCTTGCAACAGGATGTTGGGATATGGGTGGCTGTCAAAATTAGGGCCCTTTTTTGGGTCCCTATTATAGTACGGCACCTATTATTTAAGGTACCCCAAAAGGGGCCCTAATTTTGACAACCACCCATTTTTGTAGCAGAGCGGCCTCCACCTTGAGAATAGAGTTCTGGGCCGGTTACAGAAACAGTATAAATATATAATGTACATGTGTATTTGTATAGATATATGTGTGTGTACATATATATATATATCTGTATGCATACATACACAATTGAAGCTATGTAAGGATACTGTTGCAATCCGTCCCGGTACCTGTGTTGTATATATATATATATATATATATATATATATATATATATATGTATATATATATATAGTTATGTATGGGTGCAATGGGCTTTTTTCTCGTTAAGGTCTTTGGGAAATCTTGTTCGAAACATTCGTTGATCGGCATGATGCACCCCCTATGCAACTGCGAAACCTGGAAGTAAAACCAATATTAATTAACATTAATATTAGTATTAGTATTAGTATTAGTAGTAGTATTAGTATTAGTATTAGTATTAGTATTAGTATTAGAAATAGTATTAGTATTAGTATTAATATGAGTACTAGTACCTACAGCCCCAGAGCCGAAGCCCACCGGCAACTTCTGCACAAGCTAAGCACTAAAACGCTTAAACACGGAAAGCCTTCAACGCCCTCAGCCCCTCAAGCTCTTACCTGACCCATCTTCCCCAAACCCTGTCCTAAACCTGAAGCACTTAAACCGCAAGAACAAGGGGTTCAGGGTTAGGGTTCAAAAACAAATCGTCCCGGGAGCTGCAGGAAGAGGCTTTGTTTAGACAAAAATTCCGGCTGCTGTTAAACGACGGCAGGCTGTGGCATTCGCCAAAGATGGTTTAGTTTGTCGGCAGGTCTCTCATCCCATCCTGTGAAACCTTCGGCTCTTGTTCGTGATGCCCGCTGCAGGCTGAAAGATGAGGTCCACAGGAGTCTTGTTGGGGGCTGTAGGCTTTCACTGCAAGCTTCCAGGGTTGTTCAGGCATTACAGGCCTTACCGTTTGGGTTTAGGTTAAGGCTCTTGGGATTATTGCATTCATCTCAACATGTTGTTCTTCATGGACGGGGCGAGAGCCACCGGCATCTGCGTGTGCGGAGCCACTACAGTACAGCCAGAAGCCAGAATGCTTTGTGTCTTGAAGCTGCAAGCACAGCATGCTGGATTGCGGACATCTGAACTTCAGCGCTGCCGAGACGAACTCTGTGAAGAAAGGCAAAAAGAGCACCAGGGGTCGGAATACCTGAAAACAGCAGTGATACTGTTGATGGGCAAAATCCTGCATGACCCTAAGGACTCTAAACTATGGGAACTATGGTATATTCCTCATAATGGGTAATGCAGGATTTTGTCCATCAGCAGTAGCAACCTCACCATGAAAAAATTAGAACATACCTCAAATCTCGGACTCTGTTTGAACTAGCAAGGCTCCACGACTAGTGAAGCTCAGAGAGTCGCGGAATAGGCCTGGCAGGTCCCCTTCAACCTGTACACGGAAGACTGGAGTCTGCCACTACACCCTTCAAATTCGGTTTAGGGCTTACCTGGACCCCCAAAGTATGTAGAATACTAGAATAGTGGCCTTTTAAAGGTATTCGGCCTCTATTTTACCTACTTTGGAGGGGTTTAGGCAGGCTTGAGGGTGCACGTGAGCTCTGCCAGAGTTTGGGCTTTCGGCTGGTTGGACACACGAACCCGAAGCTCCTGAGCACTGAACCATGTAAATCCGATATCCCGAAGCCCCACATCGTGGTTGAAAGACCTCTAAGGGAAAGCATCGGAAAGCTCAAGGCAGGGAATGCGCCGCAGCCCGAGCTTTGGGGCGTACGGCTCAGTAGGCCGCAGTCCTCTTGCCATAGCAGATTTAGAGTGGGTTCCAATTAGAAGCTTTGCCAAGCCGACACTTTGCACTCCATGTGGGAGTAGTCTTGACGGTTGGGTATGCGGGATGCAGCAGTCTGAGGGCATGCACTGGTAACGTCGCGAATAGGATCAACAGCAAGGCTATGATCAGTTTGACTGAGCGCACGGCCACCTTTTAGCCCAATTTGACAACTTGTTCTGAGTCCTCGCGGTAGGTTTGTTGGTTGTGGCTTGTTGTGCCGGCTTTCAGGCAAAACTTCCGGGTGCAGCTGACAGGATTCATGCTGTTGAGAGTCGCTTAGGGTTTGTGGTTTACCGCATGTAGCAGTCACGAGCGCTTTTTTGCTATGCAAACAAATTCTCTCAAGTATCTTTTGACTCCGGCCACGCGAGAACCGAAATCTCACCCAAAAATCCAAGCAATAGAAGGACCCGCCCCGCCCTACAAAATCCTTGAAATCGAAGCCCTGCACCTTCTGAGACCCTTATGATACCCTTACGAAACCCTTATATCTCCTTTGTCGAACCGTATACTTAAAGGATCCTGGGACTTAGTAACTAGGGTTATAAATAGGGTAACTTTACTTATAACTACTTATAACCCCAATTCAGGTACTTATAAGCTTACTTACTAAGTCCCATGATCCTCCAAGTAGACCCTAAACCCTAAACCCCATAGATCCCTTTAAGGAACCCCTATAGATCCCTTTAAGGAGCGCTTTTAAGGAGCCCTTTTTCTAAGTCCCATGATCCTCCAAGTCAACCTTCAGGAAGCCTTGCAACGCCCTGAAAAAACCGGAAGCCTTGAGGTCCCCAAACCCTAAACCCTTGAAATCCTATAACCCTCAAAC